AAACAGATACCACTTGTTAGAATGCCTGAAAAGTGAGGGGAAAAAAGGGATTCCTCTTATTTACACAAATGATATATTATAGTGATCTATGTTACAAGAACCTAGGAGGTATAAGAAATAAAAATTGCCGTACAACAGATCCACTTGGAGCAGACTCAATTAAGAAAAGGAAAACCTCTCACTCTCTACTGCCAAAACACAGATAACCTTAACATTATGAGACACACACAGCATTCCATTTCTTCCTCACCTTTTACTTAAATGTGTAGACTGATCATAGACCTACCATAAGTACACCTAATAAACTCAAAATATAATAAATAATGAAAAGCACAGCACACATATCCCTGCTTAACAGCAAGCTGTACATGCTATACAATCTTATAACATTATTACCCCAGCTGACCCTACATATGTATATTTTTCCTAATGAGCCGCTTGTGATGAACACCAGCGCAAAACAAATCTGCCGAGAGTGTGCATGCTGCGGTTATACGTCCCTTAAGAGTATCAAGTCCAGCCTCATGCTAAGCTGCAGGGTGGGGGTGAGGGAGAACGGGACAAACAATAAACAACCATGTTTACCCGAGACTCAAGCAGCACATGCCACACGCCACATAGCACGTGCTGTTTCCATAACGGAAAATTTGTACTCGACCTCATTTCCCTCATCTGTAAGTTGAAAACCTTTGTTCTTTTCACTCACCTACTACAAATAATTTTCTTTCTGTATTGTTATTAAAATCGCTGATCACAATAGACACAAGAAACAATACAGAATGGAAACTCTTTTAGCAACATCTGGTTAAAAAGCTTCAGAACCTTCACCACAATATACAAAAGTTTCGACAGTTAGAAGTTGTAAAAAGGTTAGGAAAAAAAAAGACCCGCATAATAGAAAAAAAAAAAGTTTTCCCCAAGATAAAACTGAATCGTTAGAAGCTTTTGCCTTAGGCAAAGCATGAGATAACAGACTCACACATACAGTGAAATAGAAAACCTGGTAAAAAAACCTACATGTAGGTGTTCTAAAACCTACCTGGTCTGTCGCAGTGGACGATCTTCGCACCACATAACCTTTCCTATGAGCCTACAAGGATAGGAGGCAACATGGTCATTATCGTAATCTCTGCACAGAATCGCAATATTACAACTTAAAGATACCCGATAGAAATTTGGACTTTAGACTTAGAGATTCCTGCATGGTATAGTGAAGTATTGTGAGGTATAGAGAGAGTCACTTGACTATTCGACTATTTGAATGAAGGACCAAGAGCTTTCCACAAATGTGCGCATGCATGCATGAAAGCACACACGCATTGTTATGTCATATACACGCATGCACACACACACGCTTACATTACATACACACACACAAAGACGTACCGCAAGACGCAACAGTTCACTGTACACACAGGCAAAAAGACAGAAGGAGGCATGCCTGGACATGAAAAGGGGCCCACCAAAAGCCTGCGATACACAACCAGCGTTTGGCAGCACACGGTGAGCGGCGTCTAATACGTAGAGCTCATTGGGGATTGGTTCTATAATGCAAACCGATCGTCCGACCCTCAAAAAAAAAAAAGCTGGGCGATCAGTTTGAGCCAGGACACCCGCTTTTCGCCTCCAATCTGGCTCGCAAACTGAACCGAACCAATCGTGCCAATGGGCACAGGGTATAACAAATGCAAGGGGCCCAATCACATGCTAGGGAGAGGGGGTGGGGGTGTTTGGAAGGGACATGATAACTCAAAAAAGAAGTTCCAGAGATGGCGAAGAAAAATAAATGCACAAGTCATGACATACATTAAGTGGAGAAACAACATCCACACAAAGTCCAACTTCGCATGCTATGAGGAGTGAACGAGAGGGGAGGGGGGCCTCAGTCAGTATAGGAAGGACACAGTAAAAACTCAATAAGTTTTCCTCGAACGAACTAAACAAAGCAAAAATGTCTAAAGTCCCAGATCTTTGCTTTTGCCTTAAGCTTGGTGTTGGATGACATGGGAAGGGGTGAGGAAAGGGGGAGGGAGGCAGGGGGACACAGGCTGCCCCCCTACACTCAACTAGCAGTGCCTAGCTTGCTCATATAATATCTTCTTCCTGTTGGGGGAAGGGGGGGGGGGGGAGGAGAGAGAAAAACAGACAAAAAGAAGAATTTGACGTGAGTGCTGCGGAAACATAATAACTTCATCACCAAAACAAGCATCAATCAGACCCCAATAAAATAACATTTCAATCAGAGCACACAAAAAATAAACTCGTTTCATGTGGCATAAGTCCTAACTCACAACACTAAACCAATAGCAATGGCATTGCTTCTTCAGTTATCGCAATCAACCACAAACTATTTGGTTCGTTGGACCTGAAAGCCCGTCTTCTTCTTCTTTTTAATTTTGCCAATAGTCGGAAATGGGACCTTTCTGCAATAAACCAGTCCCGTCTTTTGCTATTCTGTATGCCTGAATTATTTTGGTTCTAAGCCAGATTTTTGTTTTGTTCCATCATGTTATTTCTTCCCCTCCATGTCTTGTCTTCTGCCTTTACTTCCAGAATGTTTCCCTCGAGTGAATCATGGCACCTAATATAGCTAAAGAGCCTAAAACCCTTGAAGAAACAAGAAGATTTTGAAAGCAGGTCGGCCGACTGAGTAGTAAGAGTGGCAAAAGAAGAACAGAAAGAAAAATAAAACAGAGACACACACAATATCTGTTTTGTCCGTTTGAGTAAAAGGAAAGAAAATATCACACAAGACGTGTGTACGTACATCTGGGCACAGACATTCATGAGGGCTGTTTTCACCATTAAGGGACCTCAACTTTTTCGCTGGTGTGCAGCGAGTCAGTTTGTTTGAGTAAAGAAAAGTATGTCGACACGGAAACAGATATATCTATTGTGGAGAATAAAGCAAGACAGATAGACACAAAAAAACAAAGAGAAGGAATAAAAAAGAAGTAGGACCATCCAGTGGAGCACTGCAATAAACCATCTATTAAATACCCGCTCTCCTTTCTTCCCCTTACTCACTCGGAGCAAACACAAACTATCATTTATTTTTTTTTACTTAAGAAATGTCAGCAGCACAGAGAACATAGAAGAAGTTTCTCTTCAACAGTCCAACATGTTTCGGGTTGTTCAGTTGTAGTTTTTGGTGAGTAACTGCAGTAATGGCTACTGATACTACTATCGAAGTGTGTACGGGACACAAGCAAGAATATGTCCTTGTACTATTAGTACTATTGGGGTGTACAGAAAAATGGGAAGAGTTGGAAGACAAGGAGTGTCATCAAGCGACTCGTCCTGGATAGGGAAAGGTGGAAAGTGTGTGTTCGAGGCCTATATCCTGATCCAGAGTGAAAAAGGCAATGATGAAGATGATGATGACTAATGGGGTAAATACAGAGAGAGAGGGTGAGACAGAGAAAGAGAGGCACAGAGAGAGAGAGAGAGAGAGAGAGAGAGAGAGAGAGAGAGAGAGAGAGAGAAAGAGAGAGGAGGGGTGGAGGGCAAAAAGGAAGAATGACAGAAACATTCCACGTGCATGAAAAATATGTACATTTTTCAGTCCAAGCTTTTGCCAATTTTTTAGCTTCTTCGAGACATTGGCAAATGTACACGTTATGGAAAGAGGGTAATGTCAAGTTCTTTTGGCTGTAAAGTACCGTAGTGGTGCTTGTCCTAAACCGTCAGCAACTGTGAGAGAGGTTACCCACAGATACAGCAGACCTTATTCCTGTCCTTATCTTTCTCTTTTTTTCCCCCAAGAACAGATTGAGATAACCATACCATTGTAAACAAGCAGAAAGAACAGATTGAGATAACCATACCATTGTAAACAAGCAGAAAGAACAGATTGAGATAACCATACCATTGTAAACAAGCAGAAAGAACAGAAAGAAACAACCCGCACTAGACATTTTCTAACTAAACAATTCAGGAACATAACTAACACTAACAGCAAAAAATCTGACTGTAAATTTTTCCAAAAATAGTTAGTAATGTCTAGTAGGCCAACTGCACTTCTATGAACTGGAACAAAAAGGAATAAATTGCAACAGAGAGCAAATTATTTTTACATGTAAAAATGACAGACGAAGTGTTTGAACCATGTATAAAATAAAAGCAGTGACAAAAAAACTGACAGAAAAGACGATTCACTGGAAACACCTGCCAGCATTGGGCCTCTTCATTTAGAGCAACTATACTATAAAACTAAAACTGCGACAAAAGAGCTGACAGGAGGGTGGTGGGTCCAGTTAGTACACGTCGAGACAAGCGGGTCAATTCGACACTGACAACTGTTGCAGGGTGCAAGACCGACAGGCACACAAAGACGTTAATGAGCGAGCAACTCAATATAAAATTAATGAAAAAAAGAAAAAGACAAGAGCAAGACCCTCGGACAACATCAAATACAACCCTGATCGTCAAGAGTTTCTCGTCTCAAATCTCTCCTTTTCTCTTTCACTCCCCTCCTCTTTCCTCCCAACTTTTTTGCCAAAACCGTTTGACCCCGCCTGTCTCAGGATCTTCCTCTTTCTCAACTTCCCCGCCTTCTTGATGCTCTGTGGGGTGGGGGGGGGGTGGGGTGGGGGGGGGGGGGTTTGAGGCAGAGCAGAGTTAGGGATGAGAGATGTAAGAGGTAAGAGAAGGAATGATGTATATATAACAATGAAAAAAGTGTTGAGAGAGACAGTGTATATTTCACACAGATATTAACAATGCCCAACCTACATCTTCAGTGACATACAATAGACTTTGTTTACCACAAACTTTTTTTTTTTTTTTAAACTACAAAAGGATTTTAAGTCACCATTTCCCCCCCCCCTTTACATTCTATGCATTGCACACACCTGTTTTTAGTTTGACTCACCACAAACTACAACTCAACAAAACCTCACAATGTTGGATTCAATCCAAATCAAAGTTGGACGAGTATAGTTGCTGCAGTTACGGTTGACTTGTAATTTACGCAAAGTGGACCCAATAGCGGAAACAACTCACAAAAAAACAGACAAGGATAGAAGAAAAAAAACAAAAAAGAAATGGAAGGAGCAGACCATACAAGTGTCAATTAAATTCCTCTCTAATTCTCAATTCATTAACATTGCTCTACAACATGCTAAATCCAAACTGATTGTCATACCCCTGAGTCAGTGAACATGAACTAATCTGTTCAAAGTACTGGCTCATGTGAACTAAATGCAACAACACAGAAAACTCAACAGATTCTATCATGACAATGCCAGACCTCTAAAAACACTGATGAGGAGTGAGAATCGAGATGAGATGAGGAGTCAGAATCGAGATGAGAGATGAGGAGTAAGAATCGAGATGACAGATGAGGAGTAAGAATCGAGATGAGATGAGGAGTCAGAATCAAGATGAGAGATGAGGAGTAAGAATCGAGATGAGACGAGGAGTAAGACTCGAGATGCAGCTCAAAAAGTTGCACACATACGAGTCTTTAGACAATTCATCCACTTCTATGGACGGGGCACTGTAAGAGTTCCGATATAGCCAGGAAGAGATAACTGATAGCAGACCACATTACAAAGAAGTAGACGATGAAGACCACACGAGAGCACAAATCGACCATCCATCACTCATCTTCACAAAAAAAGTGTTGTCAACGCCAACAGTAACAAAGACAGTCACAACAAACACTTTTCCTCCCATTTAATTTCTTAGCACCATTTTTCCGCACTTATCGCTAACTGCAAGAGAAGAAACGTTTGTCGAGGGAAAAAAAATCCAGATTCACAAAGCTGAAAATTACGCAAAACTTCATACACATTCATTTCTATTCTAAGAATATGCAATAGATGAGTGGTACCGTACTATTGTTGTTGTTTCAAGAAAAGTATGCGACCCCATTTGCACCGTACCTGCTTAACCCAACAGGGTTTACAAAACAAAACAACAACATTATTAGAGTCGTCTTTTTTTTCTGGGTTTTTTTTTTTTTTTTTTTTTTTTTGGGTGACACCTTTGAAGTCTTCCCAACTTTTCCTAGTACTAAATGTGAGGGGAAGCATGGCGAAATGAGGCGCTCGTCAAATTAATGAAAGGGAAGAAACTGGCACTTTTCTGCAGGTTTGGGAATTTTTATCGACCTTTTGTTTTTTGGCTCAACACCTTTCATGCCCATTAAAGAACATATTTCTGTGTGGATTTCACTGAAAAACGTTGAATAAAGGTATAAAAGATGTAAATTTTAGGTTTCCACAAACTCTCAAGTTTAGAAAATACTAAACTTTGGCAGCCATTTTCTTTCTAGTTTTACCTCTGAAACCAGACGACATCACTTCCTTCAATTGCCAATATCTTGACTTGTATCCAAGATAAATGGATATTTTTTTCATCAAAAGCAAGGTAATGGACAAGCTTTAAGACGGTACCAATAACTCCATATGCCCAAAATTGACGAGCGCCCGATTCCACCACGTCGTGGCACAAATGTGACATCTCCACCACGACGCCGATAAAACCACAAGGTTGTACTTTCTGGCCAATTATGCTACTCATGCTCAAGCACCCAAATGTCCAATCATGTAGACACATACACATAGACAAGAGGCCGGCGAGCCTGCTGATAAAGGGTATTGGGCGAAAGAAGCCAGGGCGTCAGCGTAAGAGTGAGTGCGACATTAGTATGTACAGCTTACTGCAGTTCACACAAGACAGTAGCCACTTGAGTACACTAGAGCTAAGGTTAGTACCTCACCACAACTCTGGGAGAAAAACGTACCTTTTGGAGTCTCAGCTGGACAACCTCTACTAGGTCTACATGAGTGCACTAAGAGTTAAAGTTAGTATCTTACCGTGACTCAAGAAAATAAAACGAATAAAACCGTACCTTTAGGAATCTCAGCTGAACAGCTTCTCAGTACATACATAATTATGGACAGCTCCTCAATATTTATACACACATATATTATGTATATATATGTAACCAAAGGCACACATAAGAAAAAGTGCAGTCATAATTAGTGGGTCATGGGAGGAATCAGTTGTTAACA